GTCAATTGACAGGTATTGTCCCAGTAAAAACGCAATAATTAATCTCTTATTTGTCATCCAGTGTTAAAAAAATGGATTGATAAGTGCCAGCACAAAAATTTCTGAATGAACAGTAATTGTCGATATGTATTATTTGTTATTGTTAACCTTTTTGGTATAAGAATGGTATATGGTGGTAGCTATGGTCTGTAATATGCTCTCCAATATTTTTAGCATGGTACAATTTGAAAAAATTACAGAACTGTTATTTTGCTGATTTTTTTTTTATCTCAACCCTCAATCCTCTAATTACATTCTAATCTCATTCACTATCAAAAGGTATATTAGAGAACATATAATAAAAATCATTACAGGAAAAACACTTAAGTTAACTGATTTTTATAACTTGCCTCATAAAAGACCTATGTGTACTCACAGGTCAGGACCATGTTTTTTTTATCAGAAATCTTTCCAACCCCCAAAAAAACTGACAAGTACATGAAATACATACATTGTTAAGTTGTATTTCTCCTTGTACTGTAGATGTGTTTAGATAAGGAATCCTATAAAAAAAGAGCTGGTAACAGTAATTCTGTCACATGATCAGACAGGGAACAAGACTACAGAATGTCAGAGCTTTGTGATAGCAAACAGTTAACATGATCATATAAATGTGTAGTATGTGTCTTTTGGAATAAAAGTTATTATGATTTGCTAGTACATAAGTACATTGTTATAACAGTAGTTTAACAAAAGCTAGAAACAAAATAATTGATGGTAGCCCTGTGTTGTTAAGATTTTACCATGTTTAAGAAAAAAATTCTTAAAATATATTCATCTTTCCAACACTATAGATAACTGAATTTTGACATAGTTTAATCATTTTCAATTAAGTATTCAGTTAGTAGGTCACAGTGACCTACTTTCGGTTGAAGACTTCTATTTCTAATTGCATATATATGCATACTAATTTCACCAAATTAAGTGATACGTATATCACTTAGTACTAAGTCATAGAGTATGCATACTGTTCATTAAGACTTATGTTTAATTTTTTGTTACTCGGGATTCTGGTACATTAAACTATTACCTTTAGATAGGAATAGTTAGTCAGGAAAATGTACTTCCTTTTGTAATGATTCCACCAAAGTATCACAGTGTATAATTTTGGGGTCTTTAATAGCTTGCATTTTGCTAAGTTCCTGTGCTGTATGGGTTCTGCTCATTGTTGAAGGCTGTACAATGGCATCTGATGGAAAGTTGTCTCACTTGCTATTATACCACATCTCCTTATTTTTATTTCTATTCATTTTCATAGGCTCCTACTAATGTCCAATAACTGATCCAGCAGCAGCTCCTACTAATGTCCAATAACTGATCCAGCAGCAGCTCCTTCTTATGTCAAATAACTGATCCAGCAGCAGCTCCTACTAATGTCCAATAACTGATCCAGCAGCAGCTCCTACTAATGTCAAATAACTGATCCAGCTGCAGCTCCTACTAATGTCCAATAACTGATCCAGCAGCAGCTCCTACTAATGTCCAATAACTGATCCAGCAGCAGCTCCTTCTACTGTCCAATAAATGATCCAGCAGCAGCTCCTTCTAATGTCCAATAACTGATCCAGCAGCAGCTCCTTCTTATGTCCAATAACTGATCCAGCAGCAGCTCCTTCTTATGTCCAATAACTGATCCAGCAGCAGCTCCTTCTAATGTCCAATAACTGATCCAGCAGCAGCTCCTTCTTATGTCCAATAACTGATCCAGCAGCAGCTCCTTCTTATGTCCAATAACTGATCCAGCAGCAGCTCCTACTTATGTCCAATAACTGATCCAGCAGCAGCTCCTTCTTATGTCCAATAACTAATCCAGCAGCAGCTCCTACTAATGTCCAATAACTGATCCAGCAGCAGCTCCTTCTAATGTCAAATAACTGATCCAGCTGCAGCTCCTACTAATGTCCAATAACTGATCCAGCAGCAGCTCCTACTAATGTCCAATAACTGATCCAGCAGCAGCTCCTTCTAATGTCCAATAACTGATCCAGCAGCAGCTCCTTCTAATGTCCAATAACTGATCCAGCAGCAGCTCCTTCTTATGTCCAATAACTGATCCAGCAGCAGCTCCTTCTTATGTCCAATAACTGATCCAGCAGCAGCTCCTACTTATGTCCAATAACTGATCCAGCAGCAGCTCCTTCTAATGTCCAATAACTGATCCAGCAGCAGCTCCTACTAATGTCCAATAACTGATCCAGCAGCAGCTCCTACTAATGTCCAATAACTGATCCAGCAGCAGCTCCTACTAATGTCCAATAACTGATCCAGCAGCAGCTCCTTCTAATGTCCAATAACTGATCCAGCAGCAGCTCCTTCTTATGTCAAATAACTGATCCAGCAGCAGCTCCTTCTAATGTCCAATAACTGATCCAGACGCAGCTCCTTCTTATGTCCAATAACTGATCCAGCAGCAGCTCCTTCTAATGTTCCATTACTGATCCAGCAGCAACTCCCTACTAATGTCCAATTACTGATCCAACGGCAGGTCCTACTTATTTCACTGACTCCTTATCATTTGCATGTCCTCCTAAAAAGTTGTCTGTTATCTTTCTTTAGACCTAGATTCTTTTCGCTGGCAAGCAGTCCATCCAGAAGATGGTGTTTTTGCCTTCATTCTTCCCTCTGTTAAGAGATTCTGATCTTTCTTCTGTTGATCATCCATCTTTTCTACATTCCTCCCCACTTATGATAGATTTCTACAGATAATTTGGCATTACATACTGAAGTATTCTGTGATAAGTAATCAGGCTGATTTACTGACTTCTACATTTAATTGATCAAGTGCCAGAGTCTAAGATGCTTCAATTATCTGCTCTTGTCAAAGATTGACAATTAGAATTATCTCCCCTTAAAATAAATTGATTTATCTAATTTTGACATAATGGGAGGTTACCTTGCATTATAAAAAATCTCTGTTGTAAGAATAGATATTTGTAACCTGTATGCACTCTAAACTGAAGTTCTGGAATCTTATAATTTGACAAGTGGACATATTTTTATGCCTTTTATTTTGTAGAAAAAGCTTTATTTATGCTTTAAAAACTGGGTTAAATATGATTTGGAGAACTTGATAAAAATGCAAATTTTTAATGGGTTTGATTGAACTTATGTCTCCCTATGATTGCTGCTGCCAGTGTAAAAGTAAAATGCTGACTGCCTAAAAAATAAGTCTATTATTCTGATTTTCTGGTTAGTACTGAAACATATGAATGGACAAAAATCTAAATGTTACTCAAAGTACTAATATCTTGATTATGAAGATACTTTCATTAAAATAATATAGCCCCCCTCTCAAAAAAAAAAATTAAAAAAAAATTCTAATTTTTATAAAAAAAATAAACCAATATTTGACAAGAAAATTAAACACATTATAATAATTTCTTAATTATCTTGATTATGAAGATACTTTCATTAAAATAATCAAGCCCCCTCCAAAAAAAAAAAATTGAATAAGGAAAAAAAAAAAATAAAAGATCTGATTTTTAATAATAATAAAAAAAAGATATTAGACAAGAAAATTAAACTTAATGTACTGTGAACTAAACACATTATTATATAACTTACAGATTGATAATGTGTAATATACATTAAGAAATGTCAATAGTAGCTCACCGTTGCTGATGTGTCACAATGATACCTACAATGATGTAACATGTTTAGTAGTAAAAAAACAGCTGATGATGCAAATTTCATCAAGATTTAGATATAAAAATTAGAAGATGTGGTATGATTGCCAATGAGACAACTTTCCACAAGAGACCGAATGACAAAGAAATTATCAACTATAGGTCATTGTACAACCTTCAACAATGAGCAAAACCGATACCGCATAATCAGCTTTTAAAGGCCCTGAAATGACAAATGTAAAACAATTCAAAAGAGAAAACTTAAATGGCCTGATTTATGAAAAAAACAATGAACGAAATACAAATATGATATTGTTACAGACTATTTATTGGCCTACTGTGATATTATTATTATTTGTGGGATTACCAAATTTCGAGGATTACATGGGTAGAGATAAACAAATTTTGATGTTCGAAGAAGTCCACACTTTTCATAAGATTGTATGCAGATTTAAAAAAAAACAACACTAAAATTGGTATCCATGAAAATAAATGTATCCACAATTCTCAGGAAAAGATGAAATAAACAAATGTGCAAACTTTTGTAAAAATTTTTCATCCTTTAATTGTTAGTAGGTCCTAAAATTAAAATTCTTTCTCAAAAAATTTCCGCTCTCAGTTATTTTTAGTGAATTTGACACTTTATTTTGTGAATTACAAAAAAAAGACATAATGTAAATGATTGCCTTTAATATGAATATCTCAATATACATTTAAAATGGCAAACTCATTTCTACTTTTCGAAGTATTTACTATCTGTACATGTCTATGGAAATTTTCACACACTATAATACTATGATGTTAATGCTTTACACAAAGTTGAAAATGAATGGTTTGTTTCTTATATATTAAGTACGAAGTCAAATTTCTACATTTCATTTTATATATTTTCAAATGTCCATATCTTTGTTACAGATAGATTTATTAAGTTAATTAAACTGGCATTTTGAAATGGATTTTCAGTTTTTATCTTGTTACAATATAGAAAGTTCAGAAATATTTACCTAAGTACATGAGCAGACTGCGGGAGCTGATGTTAGGACATTTTTTTTGTGTTCATGAATTTTTGTGAACAAAGAGTTCATGAAAACTTTCTGTTCAATTGAGGAGTAATTCATCATTTACTGCACTGGTTCATGAACATTCTTGCCCATTTTCTGTTCAAAGGGGCTGCACTGATTTAAATGCATGGAAACATTTCATTATGATGCGAATTCCTGCACAGTCTACACATTCAGTCTTGATATAGAATTTAAAAAAAGTCTTAGAAAGGAGATACAGTGATGTGATGAGGGTCTTCAGACTAATGTTATAATGTCTTTTCTTTATTTACAGGAAAAACAGTCTTCCTAAATCAATCCTGTCAACATTCAGGTTAGTGGCATAAGGGAGGTAACTCTAATATTATTTTTATAGTGATTATTGATTGGAACAAATATACAGTTCAAATATTTGTATGTATAAAAAAAAGATTGCCTGACAAATGTGTTTATAAAATTAAACAGGCAACAAATTAAATAAAAAAACAAACAATCAACCAAACAAAAACCCATATTCCCTGAATAAGATTTAAAATAACAATTTGTTACTAAGGAAGTCGTTACAATGAAAATAAAAAAGTTTGAAATGAACAATCCAGACTGATGGGACTGTTAGAATGAATTTTTAACCACATCTATACCTCACATTAGAAGAAGATGTTGATTTTCCATTTGGATGGGCTCACAAGGAGCATAGTACAATATCAGACAATATTATAGACAATAACAAAATCAATACAGTACAAAGAGCAAATAGTTTGAACAAACATTTTATATATATATATGTATATCAATGTTTACGATTCAAATAATCTCATGCACACCTACAAAAAATAGAAAAGCAATTAATGATTCATATATTATGAAACATATACATAGATATAAGAAGATGTGGTATGAGTGCCAACGAGACAACTCTCCATCCAAGTCAAAATTTATAAAAGTAAACCATTGTAGGTCAAAGTACAGTCTTCAACACAGAGCCTTTGCTCACACCGAACAACAAGCTATAAAGGGCCCCAAAAATTACTAGTGTAAAACTATTCAAACGGGAAAACCAACGGTCTAATCTTTATAAAAAACGAGAAACACTTATGAACCACATCAACAAACGACAACTACTGAACATCAGATTCCAGACTTAGGACAGGTACAAACAATTGCAGCGAGTTTAAACGTTTTAATGGTACCAAACTTTCACCCTTATCTGAAACAATAGTGTAACATCACAACATAGAAATACACAGTCTGTGTTAAAGACCTTTCAGGATCCTCAGGTTTTGTCTGATTAAAACGCACCTTCAAAAATTTGAATGCTGAAATTTCATTGGCAGATGTAAAGTAAAACGGAGCATTTAAGATCCTTATAAGCATTGCTTGGACACAGGATCTGTATTTTAAACATATTGAACAGTATTCACCCCAGTATTTTCAAATAGCACCATGGAATTCCAAATTAGCAATGTTTCCCCAAAACTATAAAAACCACATTTATGATACATTCAATTATAAAATCTATTTAGATAGCACTGTGGTGAAAAATATATATCACCATGGTGTAAATATAGCACCATGGTAAAAATATAGCACCATGGTAATCATATAGCACCATGGTAAAAATATAGCACCATGGTGCCATGGTGCATTAAGGTCCTAGGGAGAACACTGTTGAATGAAAGGAGAATTTAAGTATATTGATGAGGCAAAGACATCTAGAACTCAACATTCAATCTTCAACAACAACAAACAAGTGTCTATGAGATATGTCAAGCTCTGAAATTGTCCTTGTTCTGAATATGCATGAAATATTTATCAAGCAACAATGGAATCATCAATCTGAATTGCCCAGAATCTATACTAAGTTTGAATAAATTAAACAGAGACTTCCAAAATTCTATTAAAACCATTTACTGCGGATTCATTTACTATAGGTTTGTAAGCAAACTTTTACAAAACTATGAAACAAAATATCCACTATTATACAATGTTACTAAACGACGAAAATTGGTCCGTACGTCCCAAAGTCCCAAAGTTGGTTTCCGTTCTCTAACTTTAGTTTGCCTCAACCAAATGTTATGAAACTTTTACACTTTTATGCTTATTACCACAAAACTCAGATCAAGTACAGATTTGGGTAGCGTCACTTGTACCGTTCTTCAGTTATGTCCCTTTATATTTTTATATGAAATGCAGGCGGGGGCATCATCTGTGTCCCATGGACACATTCCACATTTATTTATTAATGTGAATATGACTGGGTGAGTGTCGCAATACATGTAGTAAGAACTCGAATTTTGATATCAGATGCATATATCTGCAGATTTTCCCCAAGTCTCAATAATTAAACTCACATTTTAGTCCTTTGGTAAAAAATTGCAAATAATATCTGAATTTATAGTACAGCTCCCAATCAATCTACTGGTAACCATGGCAAGTTTTAGAATTATAATTACTTTACTATTTTACATTAGTAAGCTTATAGGAATAGAGGAGTTACCATCCACAGCATTATCAGAGGAAACAGAAAAACAGGAACCAGTTCCTGTCAGACATAATGGTTTCCAGCATCAAATTAAACAGAACAAATCAATACAGACTGTAGTCAGATGGTTGAAAGATCAACGTAAACATAGACTGTGTCAACATAAAAATAGCTGTATTTATTATACACTAAAGGTCTGTTTATTTAGGTTTAACATATTTTTCTCTAATTTTTTCACTATTTTCACATTTCCCAACCGATTGTGAAAAAATTGTTCTCCTCACCAGTGAAATAACAGTTCTCGGCAAATGATTGGTCGAAATTTAATTATGACGTCTAATTTTCTTGGTTTCTTCTGAATTTCCTATTGTGACGTCATGAAAAAAGGCGACCATGCCTGATGACGTCACATATAAATAACACAACTTTCTGCAAATCTTTGCAAAGAAAGGATAAAAATCATTAGAGAAACAGATTACACCACTATAACTCGTGTATTACGATTTTTCTCCACTCTCAACAGTTAAATTTTAATTATTTAAAACGCTCTGCAAGCCACACGCTTTAAACATTAAAATTTAACTGTCTTGAGTGGAGAAATATCATAACACACTTGTTGAAGTGGTGGAATCTTATATGTTTCATACAGACTTACATTGTGAATTAGCATGTTAAAAATCCGGCTTAGCGTATCAGTCTAGTACAAAGCATGGTTTATATTCATAAAGCAAACATTTTCTCATTCTTTTATATATGAGTGCCAATGAGACAACTCTCCATCCAAGTCAAAAATTATAAAAGTAAACCATTATAGTTCAAAGTACGGTCTTCAACAAGGAGCCTTGGCTCACACCTAACAGCAAGCTATAAAGGGCCCCAAAAATGACTAGTGTAAAACCATTCAAACAGGAAAACCAACGGTCTAATCTAGATAGAAAGCGGGAAACGAGAAACACTTATGAACCACATCAACAAATGACAACTACTGAACATCAAATTCCTGACTTAGGACAGGTGCAAACAATTGCAGCGGGTTTAAACATTTTAATGGTACCAAACCTTCACCCTTATCTGAAACAATAGTATAACATCACAACATAGAAAGACACACTATAGAATATTAATAGAAATGGCTTAACTCAACCAAAAGACATATTAACACCAGTGAACATACACTGAACAAATAAATTTGATCTATGATACAATGTAAATACAAAATAAATAAACTAAGGGGAGAATAATTAAAGTAACATGTTATGCCGCTGTGAAATGTTATGCATTTTATGCATGTACTATTTGACACTGTTCATCAAACACAATTAATTATTATCATAATCCAGATAAAATACTATTTTGGTGAGAGATATTTACAAAGGGGTATTATTCCTGAGAGGCCTCGGTGGTGGAGTGATCTAAGTAGTTTCACCTTCATTATCACTAGCTTGTCAACACTAAGGTTGTGAGTTCAAACCCTGCATGTAGCAGGTGCTTTCGACTCTAATCTTGATTGCCTAGGATTGTCAGTTTTCCTGATGAAGGTCATGGTTCTCTCGGGGCACTCTGGCTTCCTCTACCAATAAAAACTGACTGCCATGATATAACCAATAGTGCTTGAAGTTGCGTTAATCACCAACAATCAATCAATCAATATTTTAAGTTAGTAAAATATATTACCTGATTAACCTGTCACAGTGAAATTAACTAGATTAACTAGAAAGAACAGATATGGTGTATTTGGTTATGACACTAGATCCATATATTCACATGGGAAAATCAAAGGAAAGGAACATTGTTTTTCTGACTGTTCTTCATCTTACAGTTACAGAGAAGCCTTGTTGTACTGTAAACCAACTTATTTTTGCGGATACTTTATTTCGTATTTAGCCCTCCCAAGTCGACTTGAAGGCGATTTATTTTTCGCAATTTTCTAATTTTCTTCATCTATATACATAACGGAAAACATAGATTTTATGTATTTGCGATGATTTATATATGTGTTATTTACCTACTCGCGAAATTCAATTAAATCGTTCGGGAAAATTAGTTGGTTTACAGTATGTTATAAACACTTCCTCTGTGCATTGAAGGACAGAGGTGAAGAGTTGTCAACAAATCATAAACTATAAACGACAAAATATCGAACAGAATTTGCTTATTGTAAAATACACAGACAATTTAAAAACATTTAGAAAACATTTTACTAACTGCAACAATAATGATGAATTCTTTAAAATTTACAAATTAAAAGATGTATTTTATATTTTCAGGGTTTACTACGAAATTTTTGTATAGGGTATGGAATTCAGGGTGTTGTGAAAGTCCTCGGGTCGCTGACTAAAATCGTTAGGAGACCAAGTGCCTTACTACAAGCTATTAAACATAAAGATAACTTTAACCTTGGTGCTTTTCTTGGTTGTTTTGTAGCAATATTTAGGGTAAGTTAAACAAATGTCAAAAATTTGTGAAATTCTGTAAATTCAATATTTTATTTTTGCATGCACTTATTTTTGTCATTGTAAGCCGAAAAGTAAAATACGGGATGAATTACAGCGATTTAAAGAAATGCCGCATACAAATAATGCAATCACTATTTGATATGCAAAGTTTTATCTTTGCAAAACGTATTCTGTCGCAATTTTCTCAATAATAAAAATATGTAAAAACTTTTTGAATTTAAGGTAAACAAATGTAAAAAAATTTAACTACATGAAATTTTGAAATTTTTGTATGCTCTTATTACCATTGTTGAACAGAGGAGAAAAAATGTGGACTAAATTGATAGTTTTTAGGAAATGCTGCCTAAACATATTGGTATCACAATTTAAATGCAATTTTTTTATTTTTGCAAAACTTATTCAGGGCTATTCCATTAAAATGTATGTGGGAGGGTAGGAAGGGAAGTTTAATTATTGAATGTGGGTCATAGGTCTTTTTTCAGTATGCTTCTATTACCATTATGCAAAATTATCTAAAAAATGGTTCTTGGTTGAAGGGATATTTTGAAAGTCCCTTCCTACCCTCCCACATACATTTTAATGGAATAGCCCTCACTAGTAATTTTCGCAATAATAAAAATGTAGCATAACTTTTGAATTTACAGTACCTTTTAGGACAAGGTATTGGTATATTGTGTTTCCAAACCTATTTTCAAGAGAGTCCACCTATCTTTATGTAATTTTGAAAGTTGTTCCCTATATTTTGAATATTTTACGCATAGCTGTATTTCTCATAGAAAAAGAGAATTTTTGATTATTAATATGCTACTTTTATGGGAATGGATGACACATATGAGTGTAATAATTTTCATATGAAATCCCAAAGAAGGGTTGAAATAGAATTGCAAAATAAAAAAAACTGCTACACTACAGTGCTTCAACGAAAACATCATGAAAATAGCAAATCTATGATACCAAACACTGTTGAACAGCTGTGGTGCAGAGCAGTGCAATTAAACAGCACCAAAATAGAAAAAAAACCAAAACAACCGAAACTGTAAATGGCCGCCTCCTGTCTGACCAAATTTGACAGCCGCATCTACCAAGAAAAATAAAGGTCACCAAATGCCCTCAAGGCACCAAGCCAACCATTGCAGCCCTGTATAGGAAGTCAAAACATTAAACTCGCCCATCATCATCATCTGTTAAATGAAAAATGTAGAAATCATTGTATTAAGAATTTACCCATACAAGGAGTTTTCTTTTATTAAAAAAAAAAAGAAGAAAAAGTTTTTTCTGCACTCATTTATTACTTTATAAGCTAATTTCTATCCCGATGGATTTGGATATGCTTATCAAATAAAGCATGAAAATCATAATAATATTTATACAATTTTTCTTGATACAGGCTGTTAATTGTTTACTGCGATGGCTACGAGACAAAGATGACAGTTTGCATGGAATGGTGGCAGGATTTCTAGCAGGCTGGTCTATGTTATGGTACAAAAGTCAAACAATAGCTTTATATGCAGCATTTAAATTAGCAGAGGTTTGTTTTAGTAAATATATTATCACTTGGTAATGGAGTATGGTCTAGAAGCACTATATTTGGCCTTCAAATTTTACCTATTTCATTTCCTGTCTAAAAATTAATATTATAGATAAAGAATATGCAAATATAATTTCAAGGTCAAACATTTGTTTTTTACAGTTTGCTTATGAAGGTGATTGTTTAAAAAGTAATACATTATTCCTGTTTATATAAATATATAATGATGAAAATGAAACTTTTTCATTAGCAATATTTTTTTTTGTGAAATTGTTAACTTTGCAAGTGAAAAAAGGAATAATTTTGCATTTTTGATTCTGAAATTGTTAACTTTGTAAGTGAAAAAAGGAATTATTTTGCATTTTTGGTTCTGAAATTGTTAACTTTGTAAGTGAAAAAAGAAATAATTTTCAATATTTGTTTTAGGGCTATTCCATTAAAATGTATGTGGGAGGGTAGGAAGGGACTTTCAAAATATCCCTACAACCAAGAACCATTTTTTAGATAATTTTGCTTAATGGTAATAGATGCATACTGAAAAAAGACCCATGACCCAATTCAATAATTAAACTTCCCTTCCTACCCTCCCACAAACATTATAATGGAATAGCCCTTATCAAGGGGCTTGCAAATCTTCCAGTTGTTTTAATTTTATAATATGTGCCTGAGACAATAGTTCCAGCACATACATTTTATATTTGTAGTTTTTAATGAGCAAAATGAGATTAGGGGTGTAAGTCAATGAGACAGAAACCCAACGACACAAATAAACAAAAGAGATTCCAATATCAGCATAACAATTTTAATAAAAGACAGGTGTATACATAAAAACATATGGTCAAGCTCTAAATTCCCCATATTTTTATTAAGTTTACACTGGCAAAATTTGCTCATGTGAAAAGTTCACATGAGATTCACCCCAAACGAGCTTAAACATGAAACTCACATGAAAATTTTCATGTAAATTTCAAGTGAACTCTACAAAAAAAAAAAAAAATTGAATTTTTGATGATTTTAATTAAATTTGAAATTTAGATGTTAATTGAATTACTTTATTTTTAAAATTCGTGTGATTTTCACGTGAAATTCACGTGAGTTTCACATGAGATACACAGGAAACTCATACGAACTGATTTCACGTGAGTTTCACATATAATCTTGTTTAAGGTGAAATTCATGTGAGATTCACACGAATTTATATTCACGTGAAATTTCCCTGTGTAAAACAGACTGTTACAGATCTGCCAACATTACCAAATTATCCAAATAGCAAAATATTAAGTTATGACAAACACTGATAATGGTACTGACTTGTATGCTTCTCTTGTGCTAATGAGGAGGTGCTCTATGGATCTATAATAATTAGAAATATTTCAAAATGAAGTGATTTTTTGGTAAATATAATTGAAATGTATGTGCAAAATTCAAACTGTAAGGAATTTCAAACATTTTGAACATACACTGAGATTTTATGGTTGAGGCCAACCTTAAAGATATGTTTGTTTGCAGTTTTCCGACTGTACCTTCAGACTGAAGGGTAGGTAGGTAAGAAAAATATTTTATTTTATCAGCCAAAATGAAGTTTAAACAAGCAGTTACACAAACCAAGTTTCTTGTGAAGAAATTTCTTTTAAAACAACAAACACTGAAAACCAACATGAAATGAACAGGCATTTTCAGATAAAAACTTTTCAACCAAAATTGAAACTATAACATGGTGTGATTATCCAATTTATGACATTATTGAATACTAGTACTGGAACACTTATAAGATCTTATAAACAAAGAATGACTAGAATTGATTTAAAGAAATTGTTCACTGACATATGCTTCTTTACTAGAAAGTTTTCATGAGTAGAGTATTTTCATTAAGAAAATGTAGATATCAAAGATTCATAAGACAATGTAAGAGTGTTATCAATAAAAAAATTAACCATTGAATCTTTCTCAATTAAAAAAAAAAGGAAACTTGAAAACATATCTTTGCCATCTGACTGTTTTCATAAATCTAACAATATTTAATTATATGTAATAAGGTTATATTTTGAAAGATATGTTGATGTGATCAGGCTTTAATTAAAACCAAAAAAAATTTCAGGGTGAAATCAATAGCACCCCTTTAAAAGTAAATGGTCTGTACTGAAATGTTTTGACTGCATAAAAAATTGGCAGCATAGCTCCTAAGGACATGTTTTAATTCAATTCACACAAGCCACACTGTTTGAGTATATTTAATATTGTAAGAGGGAGAAGAATTGCAATGAGTGGGGTAGCTCCCCTTATCCTAAAGGAGCATACTCATTGCAATAGAAGATAGATTTAACATAGAGAAAGTATATTTATTTTTACAAGCCAACCATTAATTTTCTTTACATCTTTGTGTAGTTTCTGTGGCTTCTTATAGATTTGGCATTGTCTATCGATTATAAATTTCAAATGCGCACTTCCTGGCGTGTTTACAGGTATCCATGAAGTCATGGAGAAGTGGTTTCACCCTTGTTGTCTTCACAACGTTTTATAGAAACTATGGCATACTTCAGGCTGCTGTCAAATTGTTTAACCACTGATATTGGTTCCATAAAGTCAGGCTCAAGAGATTCTGTACCCGATCTGTTTGAGATGGAAATGGTTATCGTGTCGGTTTTATGAATATCCACTGCATCATGCGTTCTCAAATCGTCAATGATATCTGTCTGAATCTGTATAAACAGTTTACTATTAAACTTTTTTGGTTGTTATTTGTTTTAAAATTGACAGAAAACGACAGCGCAAAGTACTCCTCCATGTCTTCATCGATACCTGTAAACAATCTCCATGTGTAGCCTGGCATCCTGACCCAATCTAATACTTCGTCGATAGGTCTACTGTCAAGCAGTTGGCCAGGATCCCAGGCTATCTCCATGTGCTTTATTATTAAACGGTCCCATGTACGCTTGACAAGAAGGTAAGAAAAACCGAACTTGAAACGTGTAATCGACCCAGACTTTAAATCAATTCCGGAAACGACCAGAAGTTCCGGATTGGGTCAATAGAAAAATAAAAATAATTTCTTCAAATTAAAAGCAATAAAATTTTCACAGTAGGGCGGATTTTCGAGGGTCGGTCGGTAAACTGCAAACAATATTTTAATTTAAGCCTGAAAGTTGGCATAATTTGAATTTGAATTTTAAAATGATAAAATTCACCCTTTTTGACACATCTTTATGAAACAGAAATATTGACAAACATGGTGTTCGATTATTGATTTGGTACTTGCATGTATTCTATATTTGCTAGTCTAAAACTAGTTGAAAAAAAAAACGTGTGGAAGGGCCTTTTAGATGACATGACAACTACATCTATTATGAGGTCATGGATTCTTGACTCAGACTGTTTTTTTTTTTTATTTTGCATTATATCATATTTAGAAAAGTTATTAATGAGAATCTACAGGAAGAATTGAAAATTAAAATTTCAATGAAAAGTTAGGCAGAATCTTGACCTTATTGCACTCTGTCCTTTCATTTGTATATTTACACAAAATATAATAATCTTGATAATTCTATCTCTTTAAAATGATATATTTTGTTTGTTTCAGATTTTATATTTTAAAGGAATATCAAAGGGATTAGTGCCATATATAAAGTGTGCTGATATAATAATATATTCTGTTTCTACAGCGTTAGTCTTTCATGCAGTAAGTAAAAATATAGTTTATTATTGATTCATAAATAGTGTCAAATGTATTTTGAAGGTAAAATACATACTCTGGTTCTTAGTTATATAACTTTATTGTGTATTGGATAAGCTTAAGGGTTATATAAATGGCTATGTCTGGAGTGCAAGATACGTCCTTCATATGCATATTGAAATTGTTATAAAAATAAAATTGAATATGGCAGGTTGCACTAAATCAGAAATCAGAAAATGGCTCTGAAGAAAAAGTTTTAAGGATAATATTACAAAGCTGAAGTATTTAGGAATTACCTTTAATTTGATTGTTAAAGCAACATAAATCCTTAAAAGCAAGTTCAAAATCAAAATTGAGTTAACATCCAACTATCCCAACAATAGTGTAATTTTTTGTAGGAAATTGATCCAAGCATACTAAAGCTAGTCATGTGAATTGTGAACTTATTAAAGTACAATAGTTCTGGTTTTACAAATGGGAAATTTTTTCATATTTGGAAAGGCACCAATTACACCAATTCCATAAATATACAATGGACATCAGAAACATGTCCAAGCTTACTTTGGGAACAAGCCATGAAAAATATAACTACCTGTGCATGCCAGTATGATAATCAGAAAATAAAATTTCGAGACTTTTTTTTAACATATTGTATTTTTCTACTGAATTTCAAATATTTGTTTTTGTGGTTTGAAGAAAGAATATTGATAATAATTTTATAATTCACGGTTTTAGACTTTGCAATCAATAAACTGTTGGTATAAACTAATTATTTCAGATTCAGGAAATTCTGCATACAAGTAATATGATCAAATTTTATGATTTTTAAATAATAGTTGCATTTCAGTCATCATATACAAATTTGTTAACTCATGTAACTTCCAAAAAAAATTGTACTACCAGTTTTGCTTTATTTGTAGGCTGTAGTGGAACCTCACAATCTTAGGCCAGCTTACTGGAGATTCTTGTTAAATGTTACTGGTAACAAGTAAGTGTCTGTGAATGCATTGTGCAGTAAAAGCAGTAATTTTTGTTGGGGTTCGGAATTAAGTTTTATCGTATAAAGAATATTATATACACATACTGAAAATCTAGAAAATTTATTCCTATGATATCAAATTTAGAGACAAGACCATGAAATTTATCCCCACCAAAATTAATGTTTTTACAGTATATTTATCTGTGCTTGTTTCTAAGTCATTTAATTTGCAGTATGCATTACAAATAAATTCATTATTGAAGCACAAATTTATGGTAATGTTGAGGTGCAGTTCGAACAATAGGTAAAGTCTTTTGCAATAAAATACATATTTGTAGGACTTCCATGTTTCATTTAGCAGACCACATCAAACTTTTTAATTTCTTCTGATACTGTGGATTCAGTTATCTTCATGGGTACCAATTTTTAGTGGATATTTGATTTTGTGGTTTTGCCAAAGTTGGCATACAGCCTGTAGGAAATTTGCATTTCGTGGAACATTTAAATGCGTGGTTATTCTATACCAACAAAATCCACGAAAATTGGTATCCATCAAATAATATTGAATCCACAGTAAGGGATATGCTTTGTGAAATAATGCATGCAATTTTGCAACTCTAAATTTATTCATATATGACTCAGATCGTGTATTGAATTAAGGACTGTTCCATTAAAACATACATGGTACATAGGTTACATAGGTAGCCAGGGAAGGTACTATGAAAATGGGTACAACCTCTGGTGGAATTTTACAATTTTATTGTACAGAAAAATTATTTGACACCTACCCATAGTTGAAATATTGAATTGCCTTCTCTGGGTCCCATATAAAAATAAGATGTGGTATGATTACCAATGAGACAACTATTCACCAGAATTAAAATGATGTGCATCTTAGCAATTATAGGCAACTGTACCACCTTCAACAATGTGGAAAACCCATACCATATAGTCTAATATAAAAGGCCTTAATGTATGTTTTTTGGAACAAACCCTATGCATGATTGGATTGAAAATACAACTTTTAAATTATGCGACTTGAACATTTTCTTTTTTACTTAAAACAAAAACATTGCATTTCCCTGTTTCAGTTTGTCGTCAAAAGCTTTAAGTTATACAATATATGACCTCTCTTTCAGATTTGCCATGATGAACAGACAGATATTGGTCCCATACTTACCAAATGCAGCAAATATACAGCCAGACTATTGGCCGGACTACGACCTACTTCATACAAACCTCGTCAAACCACCGAATGCATCCAGTGTCATAAAATCAGTTATTAGCTGATAATTGTAAAGATTAGGAACAAATATTTGAATTAACTATACATGTTTAAATTAACTGTCAAAGGAGAATAAGTTTATAAAAATACATTTTGTAGTTGAAACATAGTTGTAAAGTTGGAAGTTCAATAATGGCATTTTTTTAGCGTAATTTGCGTTCAAATTTAAACTTTCAGTTTTAAAATTTTCGTTTTTGTCTGAATTTAAATTTAGAAGTTACTTTCGTGTAGTATTTGTAGTTTAAGTGTCAATCTCATGCAAGAACCAATTTACCATAGCACCATAGCACCTATGCAAATATACATATTGTTCTCGATGTTCCCTAGTCACAAATGTAGTCCAAAAATAAGAAATTCAAAATGCTCTACTTTTCTGCCTTAACATTTAGTAAATATTCATAATATAAAGACATTGAAGTTAACAACTTACCAACAACTATTTAGCATTTAAAGGGGAAATACACATGATTTTGCAAAAACTTCAACTTTGAGTCCGAATAAGGTTCTTAGCACACCAACTTCTCTACAAAGTGTTTTTCTATAGATTAGGGGCAAAGTTTTTGGAGTACTACTTAGATAGATTTTTTTACAGTCTGAGCTTTGCACTTTGTTCTATGCCTCAAACCTAAAGCTGTGTTCAAACTTTTCTGCTAGGCCAGTTAAAAAATCAGGCCAGAATTTTAAACTCCTTAAAGGCGTAGGTTCTTTAGTAAAATAGCTTAGTCTGGCAACATAATTTGAGGTGTTTTCTGACCATAGCAATCATTTGCGTGAAAATTTTTAGTTATAGATGTCATTTTCATACATTGGATTACATGAAAATAATTTTTTGTGGATTGAGAAAAAATTGTTTTTTGTAGAATCTTGATTTTGTAGTCTTGAAAGTTTTTACATACAAGCCTATTTGCTCTTTGCACTCTGTTAATTTTTTTGTTTATTAAGTTGTTAAGTTGTATATAGATTTCCCTTGAAATATGCAAAATTATCCATGATTAAAGATGAACCCACAGTATTTTTGAAAAGCTGTGTATTAATTAAAGATTTTTTTAGGGGGCGCAACATTTTGAGATATATGCTGTTTACAAATGATCCAGAATTATAGCTGAATCAAAAGTTATAAAATTTAATCATTGGAAAAAATAGGTTCATGATTTTGATGTAAGTGTTACCCTTGTCCGTCTGTATGTACGTCTGTATGTACGTCCCGAAATTGGTTTCCATTCTCTAACAAATGTTATGAAACTTATACACAATACTTATTACCACAAAACACAGATCAAGTTTGAATGTGGGTGGCGGTCACTTTTAACGTTCTAGAGTTGTTTGCCTTTACAAATGAAAAATTGCTTAATTTTTCGTTTCCATTCAGTTTCTGCAAGTCATTGTCTATTTTTAACTGAAAGTGAGATGGGCCACGGAAAGGGGAATTCAAATAAGACGGCGATATATAAATGTCTTAGCATATTGAATTATGAAAATTAATATTCATTTTTTTTATTTCTTACACCAATATGTGGCTACAATATTTCATAAAGATATTTCATTTTGAAACAATAAAACAACAAGCAGTTACTCCTCAATAGTATATCCTGTATGGTACCTCTTTTCAAACACGCTTATCTTTCTTTGTTTATGAAACACTTTAAAGGGTTCATTTCAGCACATGGTTATCACCATCGTCATTAAAAGAGACTTGAAATATTGGAAAGAAACACAATCACTTTCTTTATTATTTCTAAAGAAGATTTTATTTAAAAACACATTACAACAACAAACAATTACATATTTATTGTAAATACACAATTAATATCCTGTATGGTACCTCTTTCAAACACGGTTATCTTTCTTTGTTTATGTAATAAACACATGGTTATCAACTCCGTAAGCCAACAATGAAATAAAGAACAAATGATAAAGTATATATATTTTTATTCATAACAAAATATGCCACATGAAAAATTTATCAAGTCACTGCAAGCACTTGACAATCTGACGGTCTCCATAAAAAAAATACAGATATATATTTTTTTTCACGCTTGCCCTGAAACTGAAAAAAATACATACATAAAGCGCACCTGAGTATAACACGCAGGGACAATGACAGAGAAAAAAACCTGCGGCTTATTTAACGAATTTAACGGTACTATAAACTTAATTTTGCCTCAACCAAATGTTATTGAACTTATTCACAAGGGTATTACCACAAAAGTCAGATCTCGATCGAATTTTGGTGGTGTCACTTTTACTGTTCTTGAGTTATGTCCCTTTATATTCTTAAATGCATGTGGGGGCATCATCTGTTTCCCATGGACACATTCTCCATTTATTTCTTAAGGTTGTAAATCGTTTTTATACACATATGACAATCAGAAATGCACATTGAAATCACATTATGGATGATATCTTATATACCTTTATGAATTGAAGATGAACTGTATTTAAAATGTATTTAATTTCCTTTATCAATGACTTCCTAATTGATCATTTCAGAAACAACTGATATTTGTAATATTTTCAAAAAATGTGATTTGAATTGCTGACAAAACTAATTGAAATTGGACTAATGGTATGCCATTATTTTTATTTTGGTGCACTTGCACTGGAATTACCTATCAACTTTTCAGAATTTGAAATGTATTTAAAAGAAATGCCTTCTGTGTGCATTACATAAATGTGTAAATGAAATACTGTAAATTCAGAAATTATTGTGTGCATTTATTATTGCGATTTTTGAAGAATGGACAATAATGCAAGATTAATTATTGAGTTTTCAGGAAAATCTGCAGTCAGATATCTGTATCAGATATCAGAATGCAAGTTCTTATTACAATGTATTGTGATAATTAGCATGTCACATTATTCTCATTAATAAAAACCTCGCAATAATTTCTGAATTTACAGTAGCCATTTTTGTATAATTGCAAAGATGTCTAGTCAGCATCAATGAGATATGACAAAAAGTATCACTGAGTTTTTACAAAGTATAAATATTAAGGTGGTACCAAACACCTTGACTAAAATTAATTTTGCTCGTTTAAGTTTCATAAAATTTTGACAAAATATTTACTATGACCTTTGTCAAAAATATAAAATTTTCGAAAAACTTGAACAACACACTTTATCGGAAAAATTTCATTGGAAATATAGCAGTTTGACAAACACTAATTTTGATCATTGAGAAGCTGCTTAATATTTCCTTAACAATAGAACATGAATAAAACGTTCAGCTGATTTTTACAGAGTTATCTCCCTTTAGTGTTATGTACCACCTTAATTTGAGCACAGTATTGACTTGTTTGTATACCAGTATCTGTGATAAATATCAGGAGAAACAAATTATTTTATAATAAACCATTGAAATTTTTGTATTCTCTTTTTTCATCTCATCATACACCTCATTAATAATACCCTCCTGCAAACAACTAACTGTAGGAAACAGTCTGTCGGGCTGTCCTTTTGCCCAGACCTACTTCTTTATCTTTTGTTTGATTCACTTCAAACTTTGTAGAATAGTTGATCATAATATATAATAGCAATACTAATATTTCTGCACCAAATGCATATTTCAACAATAAATGTCTCCTCAGTGATGTTGAAGCCAAAATATTTGAAAATCAAAAACTTATTTAAACAAGAGTGCACAAGCTGAATTGTCTCCCCTGTTTTACTTATCATGATTGAACCTACATTGAAAGTCTTTATAAGAAGGGTTTACTGCAAGAATCAACATACACTTAAGAGGGTGGTAAAGGGGGGGTGCTTGCACGGAAAAAACGTGAAATAAGACATCATTTCACGTTGAACGTGAAATTATTTCTGTCATGAACGTTGCACGAAAAATAAAGACTGTTGTGAACCTTTTGTGACTGAGTCACTGTCTTCTTGTATATATATAAACTCTCTGTTTTACTTGTTATTCCCGATTTAGTATACACATTTATGATGTAAATTGTTTACGGCTTTTAAAAAAGTATTTCTTGACGATCCCTGCCAAGTATTTGAATTTTATTTGAAAAATACCGAGCACGCATAATAAGCATTTGAAAATCACGATGCACGTAAAATTAAATAAGCAGAACACGTTGAACGAGGCACCTGTCTTGCACGACTGAACGTTAAATAAAAAAGTAAAAACACGTTGAACGTGAAATAAAATACGGCGATCATGTTGCACGAAAATAACCCTTTACCACCCTCACTTAATATTAATCATTAAACCATAAAAATTAGGAAAAGGTCAAAGGTACCCTGTCAGACAAAATGTACACTTTACATTCATTCCACACATCAAATATAGTTGACCTTAAAGTAAGTATCTAAGAAACAGACCAAACAAAAAATAACATTGACCAATGAACCATGAAAATGAGGTAAGGGTCAGATGAAACCTAAATGGGTTCTCAACTAAAAATTTTTAATTCTCATATGCTATAACAGAATTATGAGACAAATTTTGAATTTCTAAGGTCAAATTATGTTGTATTCTACTAAATTTTTCAATGCTCAGAGAAAATGTTACGGCCATGTTCCATATTCGGAATATTTCTACTATATTGCATTTTTTTATAGTATCAACATATGCTCATTTTACAAAAATCATACTTATTAATTTATTTCTATGAATAGCAGATGCTGCATAATTTATTTTATTGGTTCTTAGAGATATTGGATGCTCTCATGATTATATTAATAACTTTTGTAGTTGTGAGATTGTTTTGTTTAAAAAACATTTCTTATTTCTGTATATAGCATATTTTTAAAAAAGTGTCTGCGGATAATGAAGAAAATATTAAGATGGCATCTTCACCTTTGATAGATGCTGATGTTATTCTTTTCATTCCATATTGAATACCTCAGCATTTGGATGCTGGTTTCTAATTATTTTTAGATGCTGACATCACATCAGTTTTGGATGCTAGCATCCCAAAATATGGGGCTTCTGGCATCCAAACATATCGCAATGCTGTAATCCCAACATACCGGGATGCTGGCATCCCAACGTATCGGGGTGCTGGCATCCAATTAGTTTTGGATGCTGGCATCCCAACCATTCAGACATACCTTTTTTCATGATGTCATATGAATTTAAATGCTGCTTCCTAATCAATTGGATTTTAGTATTAATCCACCAAGATAACACCCAGTACATTTCCTAAGGTTTTGATGTGTGCTGAATGCATATGAAAACAAACCAGTAAACCAGGAAACATAAAAAACTACTGATGAATGCCTAGAAGATGATAATTTTTGTTTTTGTCCAGTGGCCAGTTTAATGCATATTGAGTATGAGAAAGCATGGGTCAGAGTGTGAAATGTATACTTGACCAAAATACTGAGTCTTATTTGTAAAGTGCTAGTTCACCATGTGTATGCTGATGTCAACAATTTGATATTGATAAAACTATGTCAATGTACTAAGTTTTCCAATAATTGGCAAATTTTAATGTTATTTTTTTAACTTTGATTACCATTATGTAAGACCTGTATACATGTTATTGTGGTCTGGAGACTATACATTTATATATGGTGACAGGACTACAATATTTCAGTCTGAATTGTTTATGTTTTGAATGTTTATAGAATAATAGATATTTGAAATTAAGCTTAACGCAATAGCCTGCTGAAATGATATCAAATCCAGTGGTTCCCAAGGCTTTCAGAAATCAACTGGACATTTGGTCCAGTAAAACATTCTTCTTAACTGGACCAGACTCTTTTTTTACAGGACAATCACACATATGATTTGGACAAAATTAAATATTTTACTGCTCATTTTGTCGGGTAAGGCATATCAATTAAATGAACCAAACCAATTT